GCGTAATGCGTCCTGGCTGTCACGTCACAAGTGTGTACATTAAAAAAAACCTAAAACTCTACAAACTCGAGTTCTTTCAGTGTGCCCTGATACATTTTTAGAATATCGAAAGAAACTTTTACTTTTACAAGGAAGCGTACAGACAACGAAGAGCAGAATGAAATAGGAGTGTCACTGTCTGATTCCAACGAGTAACTTGGCGACAAATGCTTATTCGACTGAAACCTGATTGATTATTATTACAATTCCCAGAAACATTTGCATGTTGTTTACCAAGTACGTTGAATTTGTTGGAAAATTCGTCATTGTGAATATATGCTACTAATGAAAGTCACTATATAATAAGCCTGTAGAGCAGGCGTAATTTTGGCGAGCGAGTGCTCAGTATTATTTTCTTAACAAAAATTATAACCGCCATCTTTGATTGTTAATGGCAGTGAAAGACTGGGGAGAGAAAGAAATTTGTACAAAGGGGGGCGGTCGACGGTCAAAAATAAGAGGGGGATAGGTATACTTTCACTTTTACTACTACGCGGTCGGACAAACGATCGCGAGTTTATAACGTTAGCTCGCACTAATAAGACGCCTGCACTGCAGGCTACTGTATAGTCAATTGATAGCGATAGCTACATGTACATAATCTTGATCAGAGACGTTTATAGCGGAGGTTTTAAGGTAAGAATAGTTTGTGGTTGCTATAGCGTGAATTTGTTCACAAACGCGATCGTTCTTTCTTCTTAGACTACGTAAGATCAAAGATTTGTGGTAACTTTCATGATCAGTCCTTAAACGGTACTGATATCGAAATTGAATGATACTTAACAAATAGAAAAGCCTTGAATATGTTCTTTTCTGTTGTAAAGCACGCAAGAAGCGGCTAGAGCACGAAAGAAGTGTAGGAAGTAAAACGATCGTGTCTCTCCGCACTTCTTGAGTCGAATTTGGCCGAAGCAGACAAATCTTCAGACGCACCGCCAGCAAAATTTGTCCCGGGTAAAATTTAGGCGAAATCGACTCAGTACAAAATCGTGATAATCCTCTCAATCATTTATCGTATAACCTACGACAAGCGTGTAATTGAACTGTTATCTGTTTACTGAATCCTGGAAATTAGAAGTGGAATCCTTCGGCAACTATGCTGGCTGGTCTTATAAACAGATCAGGCGCTGACGGAATTTGTCGGCTTTGAAATTTTTTATGTGGATGCAACAGACGAAACAAAAATTTGTCATGACAAGATTTATCCTTTGATTTTGTCGAAACAATTCTAGTTTTGTCCCTTAGTGTGGAAAGGCCCTTAGACTAAGGCTGTCAAGAATGTCAAACCATCAAAGTTCACAAAAATCTGCAATAGTTTACAAACTGAAATAGTTTGGCAAGTCGAATTTAAATGTGTTTGTTTTTTATTACCGTTCTAAAGATTGCAATCTAACTAAGCGTGAAAACCTTATAAACCTTAATAACTTAAACTACGGCGCTTGACATGTTTACAAACCCTTATTTGGTTCTTCTGTTGCTACTTGGCGGCTTGCTTGTTCCAAATTTCACTTTTCATCAATGACAAAACGCTAGAGAGAAGTCGAGGAAAAGGTCATACATGGTACAATTTAGCAGATGGTGTGACAGCTTTAGCTCAGCTCTATGCTTTGTGCTCTGATAGAGCACTCTCTTTCAACCAATGACAGTGCATATTATATCCAAACTATATTATAATAAAATTTAACATGTATGTATTACAAGCACATGATTTTCTTCATACATATTTGTTTTTGTCCAAACAATCAAGTTCCACCTGATTCAATCAATAGCTGAGAGATGTTCAGACTCAGAGATAAACTTATTATCTTATGACTTATTATCATGCCCTTCTGCTCCTTCCCTTGATTTTGAATTTGTTTCTTTGAATTTTTGTCAGCGAACTCTATAGCAAATAACTTAAGCCGCAAGTTGGGATTGTTATAGCCAAGATATAGTTTGGATCTCATTTATTCATCAATTGATTATTGTCAGGTCTGATGATATCTTCTAATTACTGTTCATGCAAGGTTCATAATCCAACAACACTGAGTCCAATCCCACGTGTTATTTATTTTCCTGCATTGTATGCATTTTCTTTATTTTTGTTTGCACAGCCTCTAGTCACCATTTTGAAAAATTATACTTAATGACCAAGCACTGTTTGCAGAGACTCAAATTAAATCGCCCTTGAGGTGGTTTTAATTTTTTGGAAGCTGATCCACAAATTTTCTTACAACCAAGCTATGTTAAAGCACAGGGGAAGTCATTAAGTTCCTTTATTCCCTTACTAAAACTACATATATGTTACATATGTGTGACACTTGTGTATCTGTTGGATATTTATATGATTAATATTGCATTTATGTGACATATATGCGACATGATTGCAAATACATGTGACATTAATATATGACATGACATACAGTATATGTTGGATATGTAACTATGTAGGGAATATATGTGACATATATTATGTAGTTCTGGTAAGGGTTCACAGCCAGCTGGTTGCAATTTCACATTCTGCTCACATGATATGTATTTCCAGTTTTCTATGTATTGCAAGGTGCAAATACTTATGATTTAGGGCCAATACCCTAAAAACCCGTAGATAAGCCGCTCCCTCAATTTAGCAGCTCAAATTTTGGAAAAAAAAGTTTTTGGAAAGAAATCAAAGGGCGAGTCTTGAGAAGTCTTCTTCATCCACTGTTCATTGAATGTAAACTCACAATTAACATTGCAACAGAAAATACTTCAAAGTCTTACCCACAATTTTAACACTTTAATATAATGAACATTGTTGACATATGATTGATCTTTTTCTGGTATTTGTTGACAGTAATTTCCTCATTCAACACAGTTATTCCATAGATTTTTGCATTACAACAAGAACGTGAGCCGAACATTCAAAGGCATTAAATTGGATGCAAAAATGGACATTGGTATTGACATTCATGACACCTTTTTCAAATGTTCCTGTAGATAAGCCATACCCCCAATTTCTAGCAAAAATTTTTTGGAAAAAAGGTGCAGCTCACCTGCGGGTTTTTACAATATATTCAAACCTATATACCTATATACAGAAATGAATTAATGCCTGCAGTTGCATTAAATCTTGATTAAATTGGCAGTATGATATTCTGGTGGCTAATTTTTTTGTCCAGGCAAAAAGATTGTAAATTCAATTACATGTTAATACTTTGCTTAGGGTCATTCCTCAGTATTGCATTGCACATTTTCAATGTGTATAATTTCACATGTAACTATGGTGTATGTGTCATAAGAATGGTGCCTTTTTTCTCCATCAGAGCTCAGCAGAGAAGTAAATTGTCATTTTCTTACAAATGAACTTGGAGACCTACAGTGTACCATTTTTCTCCTTCTTGAAATTGGGAAATTATTTTCTTTCTGTCAAACAAACCAATTCTTAGTGAAGGAAAAGGAAAAATTTTCTGAAATGCCAATATAGCAAATACTCACAAATGCAATTGTCATGATATGAATTGGAATGATTTGGATATCTAGAAGGTATTGCTGGATGGCTTTAAGTCTTTGATGTGTTTTATCAATTGCCCTGTATTGTTTCTTTTACAGAAGCTGATCGGCATTGTTATAAGTTAGGATAAAAGCAAGCACTTTCCAGAACATTCATGGTCCACCAAAGATTTACCATGATAAACCTCTGAAGTAATTTCCTGGAGCAGTTGCAATTCAAACAGAACAACAGGGTGAGATATCTTTTTTTTCTTTTTTGTAACAGTTAAATCTGCTCAAAGAGATGGAGGTGGCATTGTAGCCTGGGAGACAGAATTGATACTTTTATAATAAAAGTTTGGTGGGTAAATTTTCTTACTGGTGACAGAAATGCACTGGCATATGATTGTTAGAATTCTGGAGTTAAGATAAAGAGATCTGGGCTCTAGCCTTGGCTAAAGTTATTGTGTTGTGGTCTTGGGTGTTGGCCTAAAGCCAAAAATCTCAAGAAGTGACCTAAAAATATATCTATACATTCTCAAAAGCATCTATAAATCTCATTTTTTCCCTAAAAACCTCAAATTTTTTTCTAAAAGTCCTGACTTACATGTATCTCCTATTTGTTTTAGAAATAATCAAAAAATTTGGATAAAATGCAAGATTCCTGTGGCAAAATTGCATGAAAATAACTTCAAACTGACTCAAAATGATCTTTTATTCACCAGACAATCTAAGTGGTTAGTCTCTTTACTGGTGGTAAATGTATGTTTCTCTTAAACAATCAATAACAGCAACCACTGACTAGTAACATTTCTGTGGAAGGAGCCTACAGTGTATTTGGAAATGCTGGAAGAAGCTTCTATGAAACATTAAAATTTTTTTGTTATGAGCAGTATTTGTTTTTTAACATTATCATGACTTTCTACTTATTGGCCAAGCTTTAAAACCAAGATCTTGTAGAACTGTTCTTCAGACCCATTCACTCATTAAATTGAACTCCATCCCTGGCTACAGGTGACAGTAAAATACCCCAGGGTTTCATATGTTGGAGCTTTGAACTGATTAGTGCATTAAAATCCAAACAAAACTACACCTTTTGAAATGGTATTTGATTCACATTTCTTTAGAGTATTAACTTTTTAACCCCTATGAGTGGCCAAGACAGAATTTTTCCCTACGATATCAATACAATATCAACTAGATAAGTGATGAGAATAAAGACAAATATCAATTTGGGGATAATTAGTTGATCCAATGCTAAATTCTCTGAACTAACTTTATAAGAATTGTATGGTTGATAGTAAGGAGAATTACAAATTTGAGTTGGGAGTTCAAGTGTTAGAGTAATCCTATGATAAACTCCTGGTAGAAATGGATGCAAACCCTTATGAACTTGCAGTTTATGTCACAGCAAATTTGTTGTTTTATACATGAAAGTTTGTTGGTTAAAGTTTCATGAATTGTCTCTGTAGCAGATGTTCTTAAAGCGAAGTGGGCTCACCAAGTCATCAATGGTATATCAAGGTATGCAGATGGAACTGAAGCAAACCAAAATTGAAAAACATATGCAAGTGCATGGCAGCCTCTGCTGACAACATTCCAAAGATCTACGTTGTTTCTAAAGATAGGTCACATTATGAAGTTAAAACAGATCAGCATTAATTTTTTTATACATCTGGATACTATTCTCCCATCCATTCTCCCCCACCCCCCACCCCCCTTTCTTCAATAACGTGAACATGTAAATGGACATTTCACATAACTGAGTCATTACAAAAAATTTAAATTTTTGGAAAACATACACTTATGGTAGCTTAATGTGAAATTGGCCTGAAATTGGAAATGAATAAAATGGAAACTGTTGAGAAAATGATTTATGTTGTATTATTCAAAGTTATTTAATGAACTTGGACAATACTTTATGTTTCGTTGGAGCAAATTCGTGTTGGGAAGAAGTTTAGTCTCCATGCACACTGATGGAAGACCCGAGTCGAGTAACTGTTCCTTTGATGTGGGGAAGAGAACATCTTATAAAGCTATTAGCTTTTGCTTCCATTTTAACGGTCTATGCAGTATTCCCACTAGAATTTCGACCTGCATTAATATCCTTTAGAGTATAGCCACCTTGCGCACCATTTATCACTGGTAGTATATCACTAAAGTTAACAATACAATTACATACAAGTATAGTGCCTACCCTGTCAGACACCATGCTTTTTGGCCACTGTATCTCCTATGCACGTTGTTGACAGTGCCTCGAAACTGGAAAAGTGTCGCTTCATTTGTCAGTCACCAAATCAAAGCGAAGGAAGATCATTTGATGCGTTTGTAAATTTTAATGTAGTTTTCTGTTAGCGCAAAATTCAGTAAAGAAACTTATCTTTGAAACGTTTCTCAGTTTTGTCGTAGCCTGGTCCACTCACTGCTTTGTTGGATTTTTACATGGTTTTTGGAGGAGTGTATTCCGGAGCGGGATTGTAGAAAACACTCCTCCGGAAACCAAATTAAAATCCAGCTTAGCAGTTAAGGTCCCAAAAAAGATTACAGAGAAATATCTTCTCGAGGTCCTTGTCACAATAGGCTTTTCACAGTTGCTACATGAGATTACTTTAATTTATGTGCTCACTGAACATTAATTCTGTATGTGTTTTAGAATTTCGAGGGAAGAAAATAAATTAGTTTTACTTTTTAACTTTTTTGAGCTGTCACAGATGCAATCCCCGACTACATACAGGCGAGAGGATCAGTGGCACTAGAAGCATACAGGCGAGCACTGAATACAGGCGAAACTTTCGATAAAAGTACCAAACTTGTGGTGATTGGTCAGGACCGTGTAGGCAAAACAAGTATAGAAAGGTACCTCGATTCTGTCAAGAACGCAGGAAAAGGGGCATGGAGGAAACCAGTCCCACTCGAACACACAAGTGCACTTGACCACAAGTGCGCAGAAGTGGTTGCACAGGAGTTACTCGGCAGCTCCAAGGAACGATCAGATAAGGCTCAACTGTTAACTGGGGTAGGAAAGAAGACGAGAGGCACAGAAAAAGGTGATGTTCCTGATGAAAAGAAAAAACCCTAGCTAGCGCCTGGAGTCGATCCTTCGACTTTTCGCTTATTCGCATGGCGCCAATTTTTTAACGTCAACGTGTCATTTTGAATGCGTAAAGCCCGCAAAGTTTCTGCCCATACACTCGCGTGAAACCATGCAATATTAGAAAGTTTTTTTTTTGCACAGGTTGCTAAAGGAGTGAGCGAGTGTTTATTTCGAGTGAGGCGAAGCTTTCGTAAATTTTTGGTTCTTAAACACAAAATAAAAATTCAGTCACTTATATTAGCATTACGATTGCTTTAAACAACCGTTCCTGGATCATATTAAGTTTGACTGGTGTTTTTCTGTATGTTGTTTGCACTTGAACAGCGTGTTTAAGAAACGTAGAAACTGATTAAAAAATATCAATATTAGTATTCCAGGAAGTCAAAAGTGAGCGAAAACCAGAAGAAGTACCCACGAAAGTCCTTTCCCTCAAAGAGCGTAGCCCCAACGGAAACGATACCTCCGACAATGAGGATATATGGTTTTTTCCAAGGGATTTCGTTAGCCAGGAGGTATACCATGCCATTCATCCCATTTTCCTACCGCAAGAAGCCATATATGTCCTAGAGTCAGATCTTACCCTGGAGTCAAGTGCTCCTGCCCAATGTCGGATAAGACCGCCTAATCACGATGAAAGAGTGGTAAACTCGCCTTACATCCAGGACACTAATCTCGATCACACGATGAGATGGCTGGACTTTGTACAGTCTTTGGGACGGCCAGGGTTTCAGAGAAATTCGGCAAATACTAACGAAGTTTTGCCGCCTGTGGTGCTTGTGGGTACACATGCTGATGGTGTAAGGGATCCTCGCAAGGAAATGAAATCTGTGATGAGAACCATTTGCAGCATGGCTCTTCCAGCAACCCTACACCATATTTCAAAAGAATCATTCTTCATAGGTAACACAAATCCAGACAGAGAAGAAGATCCACAGATTGTTTCTTTGAGTAAGTATTTATCGGATCTGGCTGAAAAAATGCCACATATCAACAAGGTAATCCCTGTGCAGTGGCTCCGTGTGGAACAAAAAGTCGACGAAATGGTGAAAAAAGGGATGCCTTATGTTGGTAAGAAGTGTTTTACAAAGGATATTTCTGGAGGCATTTGCCAGTTTAATGATACAGATGACGTCGAAGAATTGCTACACTTTTTACAAGCTCGTGGAAGAGTTATCTACCAAGATCTCCCTGAAAATCCAGATGGTTTGGTCGTACTGTATCCGCAGTGGTTAATTCAAACACTATGTAAGATAATTACGGTGAGTCCATCATGGGAAAACGACTTTATCATCGACAAAGATTACGATAAAGTTGAAAAAGAGGGACTGCTTTCGCAGCAGTTGCTAAATCTAGCGTTTGAACACCTTAAATTGAATGATATAAGGGATTCACTGATTCATATCATGGAAAGATTTGGTGTCATATGCAACTCTAAGAACCAGAAGGGGGAAGATTACCCTTATTTTGTTCCATGTTTGTTAGGATCACCGAGGAAGAATGCGAGGGGCACAAACATGCGCAATGGGCCTTTGCCCGTATTTCTCACATTTAACACCAACTACATTCCAAGCGGGCTGTTTTGGAGACTGGTTGTACATTTTTGGGAATGGGCCTCACAATTATGTGACTCCAGTATAACCCCCTCGTTGTTTACATACACCGTCAGATTCAATGTCAGTGAAGTGTACCACCTCACTATAGAGTGTCACAAAACTGTGATTGAGTTGAAAATCTGGACACTGCAAGACTCGGACAAAACGGAAGAGAAAAGAATTTGCGAAGAATTATTGAGGTAAGCCACAATCATATCTGGCATTATTTTGTTTCAATAATTACTGTTGAAACTATATTAAATGGAATACCATAATCAAAGAAATTGATGAAATACTGTCACGTTGCTGTAAATAAAGGGAAACTTAAAGGTCCCCTTTAATTTTTTTGACTTTTTAAATCGTTCTGATGCCTGTGACAGTTTTTTTATATTTAGGACCTTTTTGGGTGCCATTTTTTTCGATCAGGTGGGATGCCTTCAGGTAAACGTACGTTACAATGAGTCATGCTTGCGTTATTCGTGTTGTTGATGTCCTTGTTGCTATGTTTGTTTATTGCAGTCTTCTGGAGCGTTGCAAGACTAGGCTAAGCTCCACCTGTCTGTGGTTACGATCAGTCACGAGGGAATTGTCTTTGAAATGCCCGTTGTGTGAACCTTGTCCAGATAAGTATCGTGACGGAACTAATATTTGCTTATTGCACAAAAAGGAAGGCTGCTCTCATTTTGACTGTGGCCACTATATTCCGTTAAGAAGCTTTGGCCTGAGCTGTGAACACTCTGTTGATGATGTTCCCGACTATCCTGCAGAAAAACTGGATCCTTGGGTTCAAGTAAGAAAAAAAAAAGTTAATTCAATTTACGTAGAGCGAATCAAGAGAATTTGAAACTCACGGTTGGCAGATAGCTCTTTCGCACACAACAGTTTCATCGGATGTTCGATTCCCATCAAAACCTGCATTTGTCCAGGGTTTATCTCTTACAAATACCTCAAAAGTTCTTCTAGCTCCAATTATCTTTCTCTAATTGATAAATTTGTGTGATTACCAGAAAAGGTAAAAAAAGAAACAAACACAAATAAAAAGGAGAGAAAGGTAGAGACATTTGAAATAATCTTTCTTGTGCCAAACACAAGATTCGCCTTATGTTTTAGGCAGTTTGTCTTAAACGATGCGAGCGTTTAGAAGAAATACTTATACTCCCTTTTATTACTATTATCGCGTTTTCTAAATATCAAGTATTAGAATCAGCTACCTGTGAACTGCAGCCCTTTGAGTGACTATATTTGAGGGAGCTACATTTTTGTAGCCTAATGTTTTCCTAAGTTTCCTACTTTTTGATTTTAGCTACAATGTTTCTTTCATTTCCAAATGTGTAGGCCTGAAAAGAGGAGTAGGGAGTTACCTTTACGATGCAAGACGTCCATTTCCTCTTCTGATAATCATTACATACTTTTTTTTTCAACCATTCGCCTTAATAGACGTGGTATCCAAAAACTTACTCCACAGGAGATCACATGAAGGGTAGTCAGTTGGGTTATTGAAGTATACGTTATAAATTATTTTTACTCGTATACTTATCTATCGATTTATTGTATCAACTGCCAACTGTAAGCCTAATGTTGCCACTAATTCCTCCTACTTTTTAGGCTTTGGAATCCATTAAACGTAAGAAACGAACTGGTAAGTTTTTTTTCATCAGACAAAGAATTTTTCGATTAATTGCTGAGTCAATGTCAGTTTGCTGGAAAGCAACTTGCCCGCCAAGTAGAATGCAGAGATACAGGAAATACTGTGTGAAAGTAGAGGAGTTCAGTTGTCACCAACCGCTTCTTGTGGGGAAAGCGGTGCATGACATTTCAAAAGGAGACCAGAAGGTACAAAGTAGACTCCATGAAAGTGACCTCGTGGTTCAGCTCCTTGTTTCTCTGCCACAGTTATTTATTGATGTTTAACTGTTATTTTCATACTCACAATTACTGTTGCAAACTTCCTTTATAACGACTTTGTCTTTCTACACTGGCTATTATTTTACAAAAAGTATAGTTTTTTGCAAGTTTTTTTGCTAGAATTTTTAAAAAAATACGAATGATTGGTCACCAAACTCACAAAAAAAAAAATTAAAAAAATGCATTCAGTTTGTATACTTGGGCCTCCTTATCTCGTGTAAAACGATTTATATAACATTTAGGGATGCGTAATGCAATCGCGGGAAATGGCCCTAAACATGGCCCTAAGCTCCAAATTTGGGCTTCTTTTTGGTCATTTTCGCAGATTGATCTATCAAAGAAAAGATAAAATTGTCAAACTTGGAAATAGTCAAACCTAAAACCATATCCACTTTCAGAACGAACTTCAAACAGCAGCAACACTGATCGGTGAAAACTAACTCAAAGCAAATCCGACAATTTAACAAGAAAATACAGATATGTACTTACATATTTCGATATCTTCGGGCGCAAAATGTTTCTCACAGGTATATATTCTATCGCTCTTCAACTGTTCCCTGAAGTTCTGATCAATTTCTCTTGTCTTTTTTATCTCACCAAGCCATTCGTCTCACCATGTTCCATGAGCTTCGTCTTTTGCCACAGGCAACTTCCAAATACCAATTCCCTTCGTTCTTCTGCACGAACCACAGCCAAATACTGAGCAATTAGCCCCTGGCATAACTTTTATATTTCTTGCAAAATGACAACCATATACTGATGAAAATTACGGAGAAACCTAACACATATCGCACGACTAACAAGAAACTACTCGACGGACGCCATGATCGTTTGATAAATGTGCACTGTCGCGATCACGTGACAAGGCAAAAATCAAAACAAAGACATCGGTCTTTGAAGCTCGCCGACTTTCATAACCAGTCTCCTCTACTAACTATGCCCTAAACTACGGAAAAACCTGAAAACTTTTCAGCGGATAAGGAATATCGTCAAGGCTGTGTACAAGCTTATCTACTGACAGAAAAATTCTGCTCCAATTAGTTTTTATTAATTCTTGCTAAGAATGCGATACAAGTGTAGAAGTGCTACAAGTGCCCTTACAAGTTTTTATTTTTAGTGAATGTCTTTTTTTTCCATAAGTTGTTTGTTGTATGGAAAATATTTTTTTAAGCTTTTCGCTCGATTGCAAACAAGAGATTTAAATGGTAGGTCACCAAAGCCGTTTACGGGGCGATGACAATTTTTCTTCTAGGCAGAAAAACAAGAACAAGATATCTTCCGTTCGCGTATGTGGGCGTGCATATTTCGTGTAAAATGATGCATAGTAGGGATGCATAATGCAATGACACGAAGTGGCCTTGAAACAAATTCCTCAGGAGACGTTTCATGAGGAAAGGAAAAAGCTCCATTGCTACAATTAATCTGTTGGCTCAAAAAAATCTGTTCTAATAATTTTTTTTATACATTTGTTGTCATGCAGCTGGTTCTACTGAACATTTGCGTCGGCCAAAGGTGAAACGTCGTAATGAAGATTCGTCTCCGAGTGACACCTCAACTCCAAAGAAAGGAAAAACTCGTTTCACAGGTAAAATGAGGACATTTCTATGGGCGTACCCGTTAACACCCCCCCCCCCCCCACTCCATCTTCCCGCCCCCTGCCTTTGTAAAATAAAAATGCGGAATCCAGCAAAATGGCATGAATAGTTGCGATACGTACTACTCTCTCTCCCCTCAATTTGATACTTTGCTGTGATGTGTCTGTTTTTTAGTCAAGCAAGGAGTTCCCACTGACAAAGATTTAGAGTGGCTTTCGCGCAAAATCAAAAATTGGGAGGTACTCGGGCGTCGTCTTGAAATTGAGGATGCAACATTATCGGGGTTTGACGATGACTATAGGAAAAAGCGTGAAAAAATCTACAACATGTTACTGCATTGGAAAGAGAGGGATGGCTCAGCTGCAACATTTACGATCTTACATGATGCACTCTGTCATCCGTTTGTTAATCGTACAGATTTAGCTGAGCAACTTTGCTGTCAACAACATGAATGACTGTTTATTTTATTTTGACTCATAGATAGCTTTTATTTCTATTTTTACTGATTATTCCACTGTCAAATGAACATGTATCCCCAATATGGCTACACTATTACCATGTGAAGTACTAAATCAATAATCTTCCTTTTTCTCATGGGATCGTTTTTCTGTCAGTTGTGCACATGCATCTTTTTATTTTTTAAATGAAAAACTTCAAGTGATAAAGGATATTGCTAGTTATAACCCACCCATAACTTTTCACGCGATTCTACTGGCTACTTAACGTCACGTGGTACAAAATCACCGGATAGTTGTGACGCAATAACCACCATTACGTCGATATTTGTCTAGAGTTTCACTTTTTTATCTTTTTTATTGAACATTGGAGAAGAACGAAGTCATTAAGAAGAGTTCACTGGTAATATTAAAAAGCTGATCTTAAATGCTGGTCCAAAAAGTTAAAAGAAAAATGAACAAAATTGTTGCTGTCAGCGCGCGATACGAAAATAAATGGGAGGGTATGTATGAAATAAACCCACTTCTGGCATACTGGCATTTCGAGGGGATAATTTCTGTTAAGGAAATTAGCCAGAAGGCTCATTTTATTTAATTGGTTATTGATTCGTTTTAATTATTTTTATTATCCTAGATACGAACCTAGCTACAATGTTTATCCGTTCGTTTATGTTTCTATTTGTTTATGTAATCGGACCTTTCGGCGTCACCACGCGCATATAAAAACGGGTTTAGCATCCTTGTAATCAGTTCTTCGCAAGTTTTCGATTAGTCTTAGTGAACTTTCGTCTTTTCTTTTAAACCCTTGGCGGGACAAGCGGGACCGATATGTGAGTAACTTTGTAACTTTGTTTTTCCAAGTTTAGTTTTCCAGCATTGGGCGAAAGTATTTAAACAGATATTTATTGTATAGATGCATTTTCAATTGAATCGAAATTTATTGGCCAAAATTGTTTCAGATTAAAGTGAACGCCCACCATTTAAATAAGAACGATGGGTTGTTAACCAGCCACTAACGTCGTTTGTATTGGTTTATTTGTATTGTTCATTGCCATTTTTATCTCGTTATGGGCGTAAAGTCCTAGTTTTTCTTTATACTCTAAATCGCTCTTAACTTCAATTCTTTTGAACAGAATTTAAATTCTTTCCGAAAGATTCATGCCTTTTCAGAGAAGAATTTATCATTTCAGATTCTTCGTCCTCAGAGGAGAATTATGATTCTGAAGAGAAGAAACCTATTTCTTGAGAAAAGAACAATGGGTCTTCTCCCAAGGTTAAGAATTCTTATAAGAAGACTCTCTTGTACGTCTGATTCTTGTCAGGAGAATACTAGTTTTTTCCCACAAGAACAAAATTCTTTTGCCAAAAACCATTTAATGGTGTATTCTTCTTAAAAGAAACACTGCTCTCCTCCCAAGATGATATCTATTTAAGGAAAGAACTGTAGGTTTTCTTAAAAAATTAATAATTCTTATGAGAAGAATCTCATGTATGTCTGATTCTTGTTAGAAGAATACTAGTTTTTCCCACAGGAACAAAATTCTTTTGCCAAGAACCAGTTAATGAGGTATTCTTCTCAGAATAAACACTGCCCTCCTCCCAAGATGATATCCATTTAAGCAGAATCTCATTTTTTAAGCAAGCTTATCAGAAGAATTACTGCTCTTCCCTGAAGACACAATATTTGTTTGGGAAGAATGTCAGTTTCTGAGTCTCCTCATGAGAGTTTTTGTCCTTCACTCAAGAAGGAACATTTGTTTTTAAATTGATTGTTCTTCATAACAGATTGAATTTGCTTGTGTGTGAAGAATCACATTCAAAAGCGTTCTTGCTGATAAAGTCTTTGTGCTCTTCTGACGTTTGAATATTCTGTTAAGAAGAATCTTTTGCCTTTACTGGGTTTTGTTGAGTTATTGAAAAGATTGATTTTCCTCTAACGCAGTAAATTACAATGAAAAGAATCTCATTTTCTTTGGATTTATTTTTTAACATAAAATCAACATAACATTTATTTTTAACATAAAATCAACATAACATAAAACTAACTCACATAATTGTAATGTATGAATCAAGTTATCTATGAACAACCTATATCAGCACTCACTGTATCGAAAACATTCACTGTTTATCACCTCATTTTTTGTATATTGTAATAACATCATATCCCTTTTTTATCACACCCATTTTGAAGTCACTGGTGGTCCCTGTAATCTGATTGGCTCTAATTGGTGCGATTTATTCATGAATCGAACCATTTTTTGCTTTACAACAACCAATCATATTTCAAGGCTTGTATAAAGTAACCAATCTAATTGCAAGAAAATGAAAGACAAAGAGTATCATGTGGCAAATTAACTTACATATTCACAACAATATAATTTATACATCAAATTATCAACGAACAACTATATCAACAATCACTGTAATTGACAACTTTCAATTTTTATCCTCATACCTCATTCTTTATATATAAGTGAAATACATCATTCCCGGATCATACACTATACCATCCATTACTTTTACAATCTGCCTTAAAGCAGTTGTTGTCCATCAATGAATTAATAGCATGCCAATTGCAACCCCTAGTCCTTTCGTATGACATCTTCTCTAGCTGAGCAATCCGGTACTTCTCTGTTCACAAACATGGTTGAAGGTGGAAAGGGAATACTCAATTTTGAATCATGCAAAACCAGCTCATTTTTGTTGCAAATTGAAGCCTTCAAGCACTCAATCCAGCCCCATTCAATTGTAATTTATCCTAACCTCGAGCTCTACAACTGAAATTAAACTCGTCAGTCCTGCAATCAGTATATTATATATGAACAAGGTTCGATCAGTTCCTCAAGAGCACTTCCTTCTAACAGCTTTGTTAACAGCATGTTTCTAATGAAGGTTGGGTCCAATTAAGCAGGATTCAGTTTCGTGGACCTCATCTTATTGATACGAGATTCTGTCGATCGGTCAACACTGAATTATTGTAACAAGAACCCACCTGACTACAATTTCGCTACAATTTCCTTGGCTGACAAATTTTCTTGAAACTTGAAACACCATTTGCCCTCAAAGCTTTGCTTATCGGCGAAAAAATTCAATTTCCGGACCGAAGCTCAGTCAAACATTCGCTGATTTGCTCTATCAATACCATTGCTGTGTTGTTAAAAGCGTTCCGCGGCATGTTACGCGTTTGCATCACAAGTGATGTCTATACGTAATGCACATGCATTCCTCCTTCAATTGTTGGTTGTCACGCAGTACTGAATTAGGAATTTGAGGCACTTTTTTTATCCAAGAGGTTTGACATGAAACCAAACTTCAGCGTGTTAAGAACCTCACGCCGAGAACACGAGTATATGCCATGTTTTGCAGTTAATACTGAGATTCTACAATAAATGCGAACTTTTGTTGGTTTCTGTTAGTGCATTAGCTGATATATCGACTAAGAAATTGAGGAGAATCTCGAGTTGAGTCTTTTTTTGTGAAAGAATTTTGTATTCATGAGGAAAAGGCAATCAAAAAACGTGGTTCCCTTATACCCGATTAGGCTTGAACAAAAGGCAAAGTTCTTGAAACAGTCAGCTTGCCTGATAATGATATTTATTTGATATTGCAAGATCATCTTTGATTGATTTCCTACGATAATTTACAGCGTAGAATATTAGTCAACGAGACGTGTCCGTAAAAATAAATGAAGGGTTTGAATGAACTAACGGCCTATAGAATGGTTCTATGGCAAGGAAAAATATTTTTGGTAAAAACAAATGGTAGAGGTTTATAATTTCATCAGGGCTTCCTTACTGCTTAGAGTTGAAAGAAAACAAAATGTCGATTTGCCATTATTTCTTTTGTGTGTGTGTCTTTTGTCCTTTGGAAAAAAGTTTTTGAGCATCCTTGGTTCTAGATTGAGTAGTTTGGTTGAAGCACAATCGTTGGCAATTATACTGTTTTTCCGGAATAGTTTTCTGAGATAAAATTTCTTCTTACGAAGTAGTGAGCAGTAAATTATACCGTTTTTCAGGAATAGTTTTCTTTGATAACATTTTTTTTCTACGAAGTAGTGAGCAGTAAAGTCTTTATAAAGCGAACTGCTGGATAGATAGTTATTGTCTATTCATAACAAAAAAACTTGTATTTTATTTTTTGGCGTAAAATTTTGACCGACAGCTAAATAAAAAAGTTTTTTCAGAGCTCTGCTAAGTTTCGCAGTATCTTTGATGGTTCAAAGTACTGAATATCATTTTTTTCAATCGAATGTTGCAAACCTGACGCATTCATGAAGCTATACAGGAAACCAATTCTCTCTTATGAAGCCACGGTTCCATAATAATATTGCCAAGGTGTTAAAAAAGTGAAAATCTCGGGAAAAATAAGTAGAGATAAATCCACAGTATTTTCTCATTGAAAACTGAAATAGTCGCTAAGATGAAATTTACACGTTGGCACATGGCTGTTGGCGTTGTATGCGGGTGAGTATCATTAAGTGTATCATCACTCTTTCACATCAGGAGTCTCAACAAAAATACTGACCTAAGTATAGTTTGAGTTCCTGGACTAAAGACCTTCGCTTCCTATTCTTCTTCAGCAGCACGGACATTTGCCAGAAGACGCTTTTAATGAAACTTAATTGCACAATATGGAACTTGACAGAAAAATCAGAGTAAATGAAAGAAAGCGAATGCACGGCCATTGTAAAATGTTGAGATTTATTTTGCCAAAAGATATATCTACTGTGTTCTGCAGCCTAAACTTTAAATATAACAAACTGATATTACTTAGACATAAGAAGTATTATTTCAGCAACTGCATGCAGGTTAAGGTCCACAGTCGGCAACATCAAAGGAGGAAGGGGAGCTGTCCATATGGAACTAAAGTTTTTTAAATTTTATTTTTGTCAATTGTTAGTTATCGTGAATACATACTTTGCTGAAAATGACAGGATAAAAAAAAAAAAGAATGCGAACTTTATTTCAAGCCGAAGCTCTTGAATTTTATTGTGAGGGTCT